CCGCGGGCCCCTCCACCGGCCGCCCGGCCACAGCCCCGCGCTCACCCTGCGTGCCCACCAGCACCATGGGCACCTCGCTGGCGCTGCGAAAGCTGCAGAGACGCAGGAAGTAGTTGTACACCGTCTGGAAGCTGATCTCGTCCTCCAGGCTGAACACGAACACCACGGCGTCCACCCAGGCGGCAAACTGGGGGCACGGGCGGGGTCAGCACTGCGCCGGCCCGGACCCCGGCGAGGGGGCGGGGGGCGGGGCATCACCTGGAGCTCGGGGGGCCCGCCTTCATCCCGGATCAGCAGCAGGTAACTCTGGCCGTCCACCACGATCTCCTTCTTAAACCGACCCCCTAGGGCAGAGTGCCGCGTGGGGCTCAGGTGCACAGCCGCGCCGCCCCCCGGCCCCCAGTTTCTAGCACAGACCGGAGGGCCGAGAAGGGCCGGGGGCTCGCGCCCCGCGAGCCACGAGGAGGCAGGGCGAGGTCGGCTCCGCGCCGGCCAGCCCCGCCACTCACCTTCGGGGGACTCCTCCTGGACATAGGTCCCTGTCAGGTAGCGGTGCACCAGGGCCGACTTCCCGCTGGACAGGTTCCCCACAATGCCCTGCGGGGGAGGACGGGGACGCAGGTCAGCACAGGGCCGAGGAGGGCCGGGGCGGCGGCCCCGGGAGGCCCGCGGACCAGGCGCTGGAAGGCGGACGCCGCGCCGCCCGGCACCGTGAAGGTGGACGCCGTTCACTGCCCAGCACCGCCAGCCCCAGGGCAGCCCGGCCCCCGAGGACGCACTCACCACTTTAAGCTCCGGCACCGAGCGGCTCAGGGTCCACTCCTGGCTGTTGACAAACGAGTCTGTGGAGGGAACGGCGCCGTCAGGACTGGGGTGGCACGCACCCCGGCACTGCCCACCTCCAGCCGTCACCTGGGCCCAGCGCCACGCGGCGGGGACCCCGGCCCTCTGCCCCAGATCCTGGAGGACAGAGGCGAGTCCTTTCACACCCCGGGGGTGTGGGTTCGGGTCCCCCTCCTCTGACTGCTGCTGCAAGCACGCGTCCTCACCTGAGCCCTACCTGGCCGGAGGGCCTGTGCCGGTACCCAGACACCAGGCACAGGTCAGCGGCCACCCCGGCAGGCCTCAGCCCAGCCCACACCAGGACCGGCTCTTGGCAGCTGGGCAGGGGACAGCCTCCTGCAGCGAGCAGGGACAGCCCACAGGGCAGGGCGCCGCCCACTGCATTCCCAGCTGGGTGGAGGGGGAGGCGCCCTCCAGCCCTGATGGAGGCGCAGGTGTGGGGAGCTGAAGGCTCCTCCCTGGGAGGCCGCCGCCCAGTCTCCCCAGGACCCACCTCC